CTCTCTTTCAGGATTTGTTAATAGTTTAATTATAATTATATATTACCTATAACCAAAAAAAGTCAAGGTTTTTATCTATCAAATGACATATTGTATGACATTATGTTTTGAACAGTTAAATGTCAATTTCACTCATAGTACCAACATTGTTCTCATGAGAAATTTAATGACTAAATTGGATGAAATTGTAATAACTCTTGTCACATAGTTAGAAAGCCAGAAAAATTTTAAGAGATAAGTGAATTTGTCTACTTTTGCAAGTTTTTAGTTTATATTTTTTGGTGCATTATTTAATTAGATAAAACTTATTAAGTGCATTACTATCATTAGTGTAAAAAACGTAGTTAACTCTCTTCGACAATCGACAGCAAGAAAAAAGAAGATTGGTTAAGTATTTTATTTCGTGTTTTTCTTGTTTATTCTTTATGTATATTTATAAAAGTAACTAATATGTAAAAATAGGGATCCCTTTGGGTTAGTTAAGAGTAGTTTAAGTAAAATAAATAATAATAATTGTATAATAAAAATGTTTCAGAAGGCACACACGCGAGTAGCTCATAGTAGCTCATGGGTAACTTAATTCATTAGCATGACATAAGCTGCATGTTCCCCAAGTGATTTACAATGTATAAGGGTGCAGATAGTAGTTTGACATGATTCAAAGGGCAATAAAACAATAAAATTTAATTATAAATAGATGAATACTGTAACACACTTAGAGCTACTTAGGATAAACGAATGTAGTTTCATGTTACAATTTGAAGTGATTCTAGAAAGAAAAAAAAAGGGTGATTTAGATTTATTTAGATTTTTGGGGGAGGGGTTACGAGATAGGATAGAGAAAATAACAGATGAACTATAAATTGTACTGAAAAAAAACGTTTGAAATGCATTTAGGAGGGTTTAAGGATTTGAGATTTTTGAGGTAAAACTATTTTTAATTTTAACATGAAAATTATTTTGCACACAGACTATTCAAAACAAATACTCAATATGTTCATGGACAAATTTGTATTTTATTTTATTAATGTGATGGTCAATCACACTATTCATTGGTAAAAGAGTAGCCCAAGAGTTGGTGGTGGGTGGTGATGACTAGCTGCCTTCTCTTTAGTCTTACACTTCTAAATTACGGATGTGTAGTGCAGATAGCCCTCGTGTAGCTTTGTGCAAACTTAATAATAAACAAACTCTATTAAATGACCTGTAACTCTATATTTCAAAGAAATTTCTGTCCTCAAAATCATCTACATTTAACCATTGTTTCAGTTTTTCTCATTATATAAAAATTCTACCTTTCCTACCAGTGCCCTAAAGTCATCTGTTTTATTTCTTATATTTCTAGCATTACAGTAGTGACAATTTAGCCTATCCTTAGAACTATTTCTATACTTATTTTCTATGGTAAACTCTTCTCTACATCTTATTTTTCTTGCATTTAGGCTACCCTGGCCCTCACCACTGTCTAGTCATTGTTTAAATCGTTCCTTACAGCTGAGCTAATAGCCCTTGCAAACAAGCCAGATTCTACTCTATTTAAATGTAAACCATCCATTTCATAATCACTCCCTTCTCCCATTGAACTGATCCCACAAGTACAACCAGCCTATCTGCTCATTTTTACAGGTTAACCTAGGCCTAGCATTCAGCTCTAGTGACCTACTTAAAGTTCATCCCCACAATTAATTCTCAGCAGTATCCCTGACAGAATAAAACTATGAAACTTTTCTTCAAATTCCTTTAACAACCTCTTGTAGTTACCAATTACCTCCTCTGACCTACCTTTACCTACATCGTTAGCCCCTACCTGCATGACGAAAACTGCATCATTGCTAACTTCCTTTATTATATCTTTTGCTCTGTCACTTATATCCTCCACCTGTGTCTCTGGGTAGCATAATCTAATTATTTCTTCCCTGTTTACCCCATAGACTATCCTATCCACATACCTTATCAAGGAATCACCTATAACTATAACCTCCTTATCATCCGCATCTTTCTCTGATCCTTTTGTTTACTTTCCCATCATTAGTTCCTCATGTGCACAAGACAAGGGGTGAAATCCGTTGCTGAATAGAATTACAATTTAATCCACTACTTTTAGCCCTAATAGTGCTTTTTCTAACTTCCTGAACGTCATTGTTGTATGAAACTAGTTACAGTGTTATTGAATTAGTAGTAAATTTAGGATTTTAATATAAAGTAATATTTCTCAAGTTATTTTGTTTCTTTGTATTCAAAAATTCCTGTTCTTCTTGAAATAGTATGTATTATTGTGAAAACCTTTGTTAAGAAACATTCGCTTTTTTGAAAAATGAATCCCATACCATGACCAGGTGAGACCTGCAGCTTTGACAAAGTCAGCTGCCCATAGTACAGTTAAAGTGATAACCAGAAACTATTATTATATAGATATTAATATTCATATAAACATGTGTTTAGATGAAACAAGTGAAATCATATGAAATGACACAAACTCCTTAAAAATATCCCATAGTTATAAGGATTAGAGAAAGTTGGTAAACAAATTGTATGATCCTTAATGTATTTCAGGTTAAACCATCATGTATAGATGTTCGTCTACTTAAATGTTTTATAATTTGAGGAATCTTTAGATATACATGAAAACAAGTTTGAAAATAGAAGTAAATGGTTGTAAAAACTGAAATTATCTGACTGTGGAACTTAAAGTTATACATGTTTATGACTTCTTTGTTTCAGACACAGTGAACTTTTTAGGAATCAGTATAGTAGGCCAGTCAAATAAAGGAGGAGATGGAGGAATATATGTAGGTTCCATTATGAAAGGGTGAGTATATTTATATATATAGAAAAGTGTGAAGTTGTCATTGTTACAGTAGATGTATATTAGTAAATTTCATAATGAAAAGTTATACTCTAACACTGAAAGGAAATGGGAGAATAGTTGTAGCTTCCCATGATAAATGAAAAGTTATACTCTAACATTGAAGGAAATGGGAGAGTAGTTGTAGCTTCCCATAATAAATGAAAAGTTATACTCTAACACTGAAGGAAATGGGAGAATAGTTGTAGCTTCCCATCATAAAGTATTTTCATTGAATATGTGTAGTCAAAGTGTTGACTGCTCTGAGTGCAGTTATTTTCATTTTATGATTAAAAATACTTTTCTTCATCTGAAAATCCTCAAATTTCATTTGCATAATCTGTAAAACCTAAGTAAATTTAAAACATTTTTTTTTCAGTAAAACTTTATATTTTATCTGTTATTTTCCCTCCCTAACTGTATACAAGGTTGGACAATTTGACCGACCTCGTAACCACCAAAAATATAAAGAAATCTAAATTACCTTTTTTTTTCTAGAATGACTTCAAATTGTGACATAAAATTACATTTGTTTATCCTAAATAGCTTTAAATTCATAACAGTATATATCTATTTATACCTACATTTTATAGACTTATTGCTCTTTGAACTGTGTCTAACTAATATTTCTGCCATAAAATTTGTATATCACTCAGTGAATGTAGATCATATGTTACCCTATTGAATTACATAACACATGGGCTACTTGCGAGTGTATCTTATGAGAAAGTGTAATTGTTATTATTATTTATTTTACCTGATCTAACCTTGTCTGACCTAAAAAGTTCTAAGTTTTACATTTTAGCTAATTTTATTATAATAAATAAAGAATACACATGAAAAACAAAAAATATAGTACTTACCTCGGTCTTCTTTTTTTGCTAACCCTACTTTTTTATACTAATGGTAGTACTGCACTAAATAACTTTTTATTTAATTAAATTATGCATTAAAGAACACAGAATAATAACATGGAAAAAACAAATAATGTCCTATAATTATCATAATTTTTCTGGCTTTCTAACTATGAGACAAAAGCCATTAAAAATTCAGCTAAGCTCATCAATGTGTTTCCTGTGGGAATAAAGTTTAAACTGGAAGCAAAATAGATAATTCTCTATACAGAAAACATTGTATTATAATATGTCATTTGATAGATTAAAACTAGTTTTCTATTGGTTATACATAATATCATATTAAATGTCAGAGAGAACTGTTAGCAGTTTGTGAAAGAGGATGTGACAGATGGACATAGCAAGAGGGGTCTGATTTTCAATTTTGTGGCTTTGTAACCAAATAAGATTGAAGGCTATGTTGTAGTGAGTGCTTTATGTTAAATTTTGTACTTCTAGGAGAGATAGTAAATAAATTAGAAAAGAGAGGATGCCTATAAAGCAAATGTCACAATTCTTATACCAGGGAAAATTCAAGATATTTTTAATATTGCCTTATAAGAATAAGAACTTAAAACTTCCATAATGTTAAAACTTGGATTATTATTTTATTGCTAAGTTTATTTGTATACCATGACAAGAAAGTAGTTTAATTAAATTTAAATGTAACTCAGAAAAAAACCTGCATTTTATCCAGTTTTACTGAGTTTCATTAAGTCTTTCATATGGGGAAAAAGTCCATTTAGTAATTTTACTGACATAGTATTATAATTTAAGCTGTGGATTTTTTGGTTCTTATATTCTAAAGGGCAAGTCTTTTGTTGTGATTTATTTCTTTATGTATTTCTACATTTATGATTCTTGGCATTATATACAACTTCATAATGGTAATGTAGGTTTTTTTGTTTTTCTTTTTAAGTGCAGTGTTAAAGTGTAAGATGACACTGAGCCTTAACCTCTAGTGATTAAGGTATATGAAAAATACAAAATGTCAGGGAGAGAAGCATTACACGATCTTTTAAGAAAATATAATGCCAGTTTCTCAGGTATTACTAAGTAAAGGTTTTAATTATCTTGTATGGAAATATGAACTTATCCCATCATTTTAGGATGAAAACCATTATATATTGTTGTTCTTATTTTATTTTAGTAATTAAACCAGTACAGAAACTCAAGACATCCATAAGGAGAAATTATAATTCCAGTTGTCTTTGAAGATAAAGTTTTCCATGTTTTTTTACATTACTTCTTGTGTACTTAATTCTTATTTATCTAGTTGTTTTATTCTTTAGATTAAAATACATAGTATTTCTGTGATCAAATACATCTGTTTGAATAATAAACAAGACATGTTTTAGTTTTAATGAGAATAAACCTTAGAAGCTCTTAATTCATTATACATAAAACTGAAGAAGAATCCTTGATTTTTCCACAAGAAGATGATAAATAATCAAGTGACCTAGAGATGCAAGTTATCAAGATTTGTAGAAGTTAAGCCTACTTGTATATGTCAAACTTATCACTTGTGTATAAAATAGGCTTAATACTCTATGAAAATGGCATAACTAAACCTGAATATATTTTCTGATATTTGTATAATATTTGTTTCTTGTACAGATACTGGTGCAAAATTTGTAATTTTTTTTGTCAAAATGTGCATACATTTATCACAATGAACTTTATCATTCTTTCCTATTTCAGCATTTTTCTGTTTTCATGTTTATGAAAGAAAGATGCAGGATACAAACTGATGTTATTTATTCAGGACTCAACTATTAAGATTAATTCTCATTAATACAGTGGTGCTGTGGCTTTGGATGGAAGGATTGAACCAGGAGATATGATTCTACAAGTAAATGACATCAACTTTGAAAATATGAGTAATGATGATGCTGTGAGAGTTTTGCGAGAAGCTGTACAGAAACCTGGGTATGAAGATCTTATTTGACAGGAGTGGTATAAGCTTTCAAACAAATATTATAAACCCTTTGTTTTTTATTAATTATAAATGAAATCTTACGGATGGGGGGGGGGCTAGAAACGTGTTGGTTAGCTATTCACTGAGTTGTATTATTCATCTTGTTTAATATTATAAGAATGAAACCTATGTATGAAAATATTTTGAAAAAAAAAATAACTTTATGATATTGATAGTTTTTCACATTAGAGAAATGTGTGTGAAAGAAACCTAATTTACGACAAAGTAGTTGTCTTACATTCCTAAGATATGAACAGTTTAATAAAAATAACAATGACTACAGTTAGGCTGTTTTCCTTATTCTTGAGAATAGTATGATATTTTCTCACATTCCAGGCCTATCAAACTGGTTGTAGCTAAATGCTGGAACCCAAACCCTAAAGGGTACTTCACAGTACCTCGCTTGGAACCTGTAAGACCCATTGATCCTGGTGCCTGGGTTGCTCATACCGAAGCAGTGAGAGGTATGTGAACTAATGCTAGGTTTTCTTTTGTTAAAAGTGCATGTTTATATAAATATTATTTTTACTTTTGGCCACTGTTCCTGATTTATATTTCAGTACTTTCAATACGGGCTCAGTCAATTTGACCAACCATGTGACATTTTTGTACTCGTTTAACCCTTTCTAAACGGGTCACAGGTGAAAGGCCATGTCATCTCGTTTGTTGACTCGCATTCAAAATTTTATTGAACTACTATTTCATTAATTTATGTCAATAACTTTGGTATCAAAATGTATATTATATTCAAATTTTAGAACTATACATTACTCAATTTTTTAATTTAAAAGTAAATATTAAAAAAACACAGATAAACATTGAATTTTGTGTATCATATGGTATGTTGAATGCAGCACTGTTTCAAATTAGATGTTTGTGAAGTCAAAATACTAAGTCTATAGTTTCATACGAATTAGAAACTCAAATTACAGATATTGACAAACTAGAATATAAAATAAGGTCTAATCTTTTCCATTTGCTAAGATATTAGCAAACAGAGGTATATGTAATATCAAATATATGTAATAAATTAAACATAGTGGCACCCCACTCACCCCCTTCCATTTTTAGAAATGCTCCCTTATAAACACTTACTTCTATATACGACATGAATAACCAATCAGCAGCTCAGAATGTCCCCCTAGTGGTTTTCTAAGCTTTTCTATTGTACCTAGCATCATTTCTTTCTTTTAAATCAAGATTTCAAGAAGGTTGGTTGTGTCTATAGTCTGCTTGAAATTTCATATTTTCTTTAGAGTAAAATACATCTTGGTTACTAAGCTTGATAAATTATAGTGGAATTCTATGGTATTAATGTAGTAATTTATGATTTTTTAGTTATTCAAATGTATATATAAAACCTAAAAAAAATTTTTTTCATATCCTACACGTGCAAAATTTTTAAAGGCTTAGCAACCTACGTCAAGCAGCAATTGAGTTCAAAGGTCGTAACTAGAAGAAATAAATGTTTGCTTTACTTCTTTAGTTACTGTTCTATGTTTTAGGAAAAATAACTTTAAAAACTTATTTCAAAAAGCAATAATCTATATACCAATTATTATACATTATATATAAATGTGATTGTATTTTACAAAATACTAGTCGACTAAAACACAGCCAAGACAAGTTACTTTGTACAGACCAAAGGTCACCTTTATGTTATATTATGCTATTTAGTCTAAATATGTATGTTTTTGTGTTATAATTTGTGTTCATTCTAGAATGAAAGATGCATAATTTATGTTTATTTCCTCATTTGTTTTACGGGGGGTTGCAAAATCGGTCAAATTTACTGAACCTGTACAGAGATTAATTGCTGAAAATAACAGATAAAATATAATAAGATAAAAATTACTTTGAATGATAGATAGCCAAGATGTGAAAAGAAGAAAAAAAAAAGACATGAGAGATACATTGCTTTAAAAATCTTAAAACTAAATAAAAAAAGTATATATTTTGCGTATGAAAGCATTGTAATGTTTACTGATAAACTGCCAAATTTTGTTAACATTCGCTAACTAATTTAAAAGTTATAGCATGAAAACTATAACGAACACAACATGGATAAGAGGTCGGTCTCAAGGACCGAACCCAGGTTGAAAAAGTTAATCTTTATAGATATAATACTTATAACTCTCAATATAGTGGGAACAGCTTCACAAAATTTGGCAGACTTTCAGTTAATATTACAAGTCTTTCACAAACAAAAACTCATATTTTTAAATGAAGTATTTTTAATGAAATAAAATAGATTTGTTCATGAATACATTGAGTATTTGTTTTGACTAATAATTGTGCAAAGTAATTTTCGTGTTAAAATTAAAAATACTTTTCCTCATCTGAAAAATCTCAAATTTCCTTTGTGTAATCCCTAAAACATCCTAAATGCATTTCAAACATTTTTTTTCAGCAAAACTTTGTAGTTTAACTGTTATTTTCTCTACCCTTGTAACCACCCAAAAAAAATCTAAATTAACTTTTTTTCTTTCTAGAATGACTTCAAATTGTAACATGAAACTATATTTGTTTATCCTAAGTAGCTCTAAGTTCATAACATTATACATCTATTTATAATTAAATTTTATTGTTTTATTGCCCTTTGAACCATGTCTAACTACTATATGTGCTGTTAAAAGTTGTAAATCACTCAAGGAATGTGCAGCTCATGTTTTGCTTTTGAATTACATTACCCACATGCATGCCTCATGAAATATTTTTATTATAACATTATTATTTATTTTACTTTATCTAATCTAACTAACCTAAAAGGATCCCTTGACTCTCTATTGGTTACAGATAACATATAATTAAATGTTGGAGAGAACTATTACCAAATTCTGAAAGAGGGAATGTCAGGTAGGCATGGCAGGAGGGGTCTGATTTTATTATCTAAAAGACTGCCAAGTTTTGGAAGATATACACACTATATTGAATATTAGAAGTATTAAATCTATAAAGGCTTTAAATGAGTACAAAGAGGTCACGTGATTGGTCAAATTGATCGAACCCTTGTTGAGAGAGTTAACTGTATGATAGTGACTTTTTTGTTGTTTTGTATTCATGTATCCATAGTTTTTATTTTTGAGTGTCATAAATTATAGCATTTTATAATTACATGTAAAAAAGGTCTAGCTTATTATAATAGTGTATTTGATAATCATGAAGCATATTTATAGGTGGCCCGGCATGGCCAGGTGGTTAAGGCACTCGACTTGCAATCTGAGAGTTGCGGGTTCAAATCTCCGTCCCACCAAACATGATCACCCTTTCAGCCATGGGGCATTATAATGTGACGGTCAATCCCACTATTCGTTGTAGCTCAAGAGTTGGCGGTGGGTGGTGATGACTAGCTGCCTTCCCTCTAGTCTTACACTGCTAAATTACGGATGGCTAGTGCAGATAGCTCTCGTGTAGCTTTGCGCGAAATTCAAAACAAACAAACATATTTATATGATTTCAGTAAATGCATATTTTTCATATAAATCAGGCTATAAAATGGAAATATTTTTCAGTCCTGGAAAATAGATAATTCCATTTTGAAAAGTTGTGAAATGTTTTTATTGACCACGTGTTTGATCTTTGATTACTTTGTGTTAGAAAGATTTTAAAGCCATCTATTTTCCTCTTTTGGTTTCAACTTTAATTTTTCACTTCTAATCTTTACATATAGCATTTGAAAACAAAAACTGAGCATACTTCCCAATTGCTGCTTAGTAGGAAGAGTATGTATTAACAGTTGTTTTATACAGGAAGAGTTGTTATTTTCTTTTTAGTTCATTTGAGTTGAAAGAGCTAATCCTTACAAGAAAAGCATATAGTTTATATGGTTGATAAAGATATCAAAAGTTGATGATCAACAAACTCTTGAGCTTGAATTTTATAAATTCATATATAACAATTTTTTTAATAGGCACCCCATAGATATACTTGATAGCAGCAAATTCAGTATCATATTATACTTTTAACACACATGCGATGCTTATTGAAAAATATGTTTCAGAAAAGTATGTTTAGTAGTTCATCCAGTCAAATAATTTTTATAATAAGTAAAGATTTTCTTATATGTTTGATCATAAAATGTCAATTGTTGAGAATACACAATCTTAACAAACATTATTTTCTATTTTGAGTCACTGCAGGAGCTGACTATCTACTCCGACCTCCATCGGTTAATACATTGACCTCCGCTAGCTCATCTATCACCAGTTCTATACCTGAAGCAGAATGTATGTTTCTTGTTTTGTACAGCAAAATTGTTTTTGTCTTCATGTTTACATAGTTGTATTAGCTTCATTAAAAACACTGCTCTTTCAAGTGTTGTTGGCTGTTTTCACCACCTAGTCTTTTACTATTATCAACATGGCAAACATAATATTTTGAAATTATTGATACTTATGTGTTGTTATAGTTAAGTACTACAGTGATGTACCCAAGTTTGTGTTTTTCTTTTGGTGTTTCTACTGTCACAACAAGTATATCTCACTTTTCATATTTTTGTGTTTTTCCTTTCGTGTTTCTACTGTGACAATGTGGATATCATTTTTCATATTTTGTTTTTGTATTATGTATGACAGTTGGTTTTAAAAATAACGTTTTTGTTTAGAAAATGTCAAATTTTTAGGTATTCTCTTCCGTGTCAGCTAAATTTGTATGACTTCAAAATTAGTGGCCTTATGTTGATTTAATAAGTTATGATTTGAGAAATTAACATATTTTGTTTATAATACTTTTATATTCAGGTTTATATGTTAAAGTAAAAACAACTGGGAAATTTTTAAAGGCCAAAAGCAATTTTCAGAAGTCATTTACTATATCAAACATTTTAATAAGCAATGGATGGGTAATAGAATGAGGGTAACTAGTTAAACATTGCTTCAAGCTAGCAGAATAAATTTATTTTGTTTTAATATTCTCCAGGCCATTTTCAAGAAACTCCTCTTACACTGGAAACAGACATGCCTACTGTTGTGAAGGCTATGGCTGCTCCAGACTCTGGTTTGGATATTCGCGACCGCATGTGGCTGAAAATAACTATTCCTAAAGCTTTTATTGGTAAGTTAGTTGTGAGAAAGTAAGGGTACTGTTAGTTATTGTTGTGAATCATAAATGTAGATGTTACATGTCTTTCTTACACCATTTAAATCTGCTTATAACAACTACACCTGAATATAATTATAATTACATATTCAGCAGTTTTTGACTTGTGAATATTCTAGTATTATATAACATGTTTTATCTAAAAGACAATGAAAAAATATTAATTGTAATTTGTGCACAGCTCCAAAGATTCTCACAAGTAAAATCTCACTTTTTCTGAAAGTACAGGTTTCTATTTGGATTTATTACTACATCACTTCATTGCTAACTTTATGAGATGCAGGGCATCCAGTGTTCCTATATTTTTGTGACATTCCTATATTTTTTTAGGTCTTGGGGATCGTTAAATATTTAAAAATAAAACTGACAACTAGATCCCCCAAAAAAGGTAATGTTAAGTACTACTATTATATGTGACAGTTATGTATAACATGAATTGGTATTTTAATTTCAAAGGTGATAAAAGCCTCCCAAAGGTGTTACATACCTCCAAAATTTCTTTTAAATGAAAGTATGATAAAGTTATCGTAGAATTTTTTTCTCTGGAGAACAAACTTGAATCATCCATATTCACAACTGTATCAGTGATCCATATGTACAAGGAAGCCGTGTTCATCAGTCATTAAGGTAAGAAATATTTTCTTGAAAAAATAATTCTTATGCTGTGTTGTGACTCATTGTTGCTATCTAGTTTAATGGATAGTAATTAGTAAGAGCAGCAATATTTGAAGTTGGGTTGGATTATGTGCTTCAGATATAAAATATATTACTGATGAATATTTGAAGCACAATATAGTGTTTGAAATGGTTAAATATTTTCTTATACATGCATGTTTGATTGATTTATTGTTTTGTTATTATATATTTTCAGCTGAACATGGTCACTTAATATTTTCGTTTTCAAAGAGTTGAAGAAGCAGCAACCTTTTTACTTTCACTGTGTTGTACAAAACCACATTTCTATCTTGTTAATTTCAAATAATGACAACTTTCTTTTTCAGAGATATATGCAGTGACATTTTAACCTGAAGTATTGAAAATGCCTGCTGGAAAAACCAAATTTCAAGAACACTGGTTGCAAAAGAAGGGCAACAATGGACACGATATCAAACATTGATCCAGAAAAGGCTCTGATGACTTTAAAGCATTTTGTGTTTTGTGCAAAAAGGAAATGGCATGTGATAAATCTGAACTAGAACAATTAAAGCAGCATACTAAGGGGAAAAAACACATTGAGATGGCTAAGAGTGCTTTAATATCATGTCAAATGAGATTGTGTTTTAAGGAGGCTAAGTCAACTGAAAAGGAACCTTCGATGAAAGTCAAAATTGTAAATGAAGATGTGTTAGTTGCAGAAACAATATGATATTTAAGGGTGACTGCTAGCAATTATAACTTTCGCTCTTGCGATGGTATATCTGACATGATCAAAGCTATTTTTGATTGTCCAGCTGCATCAAAATTCCACATGGCAAGAATGAAGGTATCATACATGTTATCAGATGGGACAGGCCCATATTTTACTGAAGCATTGGTTGCTAATGTAAATGATTCCAAGACTCCATTCACACTTCATTTTGATGAAGCAACAACAGCTCAAGAGAAGAAACAGCTTGACTTGCACATCAGATACTGGTCACCATTGTTCGTTTCTATAAATGCTTGATGTTTGGCCATGCCAAAGGGAAAGATGTAGCCCAGGCTATCCTTAAGTCTCTCATTGACGATAAACTTAATGTAAATCTTCTTGTCTCACTGTGTAGTGATGGACCAAATGTCAGTAAAACAATCTGGAGAACAATTAGCTCTTCTCTTCTAGAAAGTGGCCATCCTAGTCTGGTAGACATTGGTTCCTGCTATATTCACACTGTCTCTTGTGAAACTCTTTCACAAGACATTGATGAATTGGCAGTTGACCTGTTTACCTTCTTTAAGCAGTTTGCAGCAAGGAAGGAGGATTATAACAATGTGCAAGTTGATATTGGTGTTGAAGAGCACATGTTTCAATGCCATGTGTCATCTAGGTGACTTACTTTGTCACCTGTTGTGGATAGAATTCTTGAACAATAGGAGGCCATTGATAAGTATATGAAGTATAAGAGGAAGAGAAAAGATCAAATGCCCCCAAGAGTGCAGCTTTTTGGAAGATCTTATTGAAGCTGAAAAGTCCGGAAACCCTGACTTTGCTTCACTTCATCCAGGCAGTGCTGTCACTCTTCCACTCATTTCTGGAGCTTTTCCAGTCAGAAAGTCCACAAATTCACATTCTGTATGATAAACTCAGTGAACTAGTTAGGAGGCCTATGTTGCGGTATGTAAAGCCAGAGGTAGTTGGAACAAAGGAAGGCAGTGATTTGTGTGAAGTCAAGCATTCAGATGTTAAGAACCAGATGGATGATGAACATTTTATTTGTTTGTGAATCAACTAGAAAAGCCAAGCAAAAGCTTTTCAGCAGTGGCAAGCATAAGATGTTGCTAGGAATGCCTGTTTCAGAAAGTATCTTGAAGTACATAGGATGCCTGAATCCATTGAAAACTGGAACAGTTCATTCCATCAAGAAGCTGGCAAAAAAGCTTCCCAATGTCAGTGAAATGGACATTGTGAAAGTACTTGATGAGTGAAATCTGTACTTAGCTGAGAAGACCAGTATGCAGGACCATTCAGAAAATGTGGGAGAGGCACGTATCGATCATTACTAGAGGGATGTTCTTGCACAGATTAGAATTAATGGAAAACCTAAATACTTCAAGCTAAGGAAATCTTCACTGATTCTAGCTCATGGAAATGCAGACGTAGAGAGGGGATTCTCTGTGAATAAGCATTTGGTGACAACCAAAAGAGCATCAAATAGTGCAGAAAACCATCAGTGCTGTTAGGATAGCTAAAGATTCTGTGAGGTTCTTTCATTCAGAAATGGGAAGGCCAGAACATGTGCCAATTACTAAAAAGCTTTAGTTTGCTGTCAAGGGTGCTTACACTGCCAATGAACAAAGATTGGAAGTAATGAAAGCAGAAAAAGAAAAAACAGAGCAACTGACCAAAGAGTCAAAAGCTGAGGCATAAAGGTTAAAGTAGGAGGAAGATAAGAGGAAGGAACAAAAACAACAGTTGGTAAAAGACAATGCTGCACTTTCTCAAAAAGAAGACAATGCTGCACTTTCTCAAAAAGAAGACAAATTGTGTGCCAAAGAAAAAGAAGCAAAAGATTCATTAAGTGTGGGTGAAAAGCTTTTAAATGACAAATTGGCTAAGGCTATCAAGGAAAAATATTTTGTTGCTGCTAGTGTGGCTCATGTAATGATCGAGGCAGATCAGAAGAAATGCAAAGAGACCTCAAAAGTCCTTAAGTCAATAGTGGAATCAAGGCAAACCCTGGCAAGAACAAAACGAAAATGTTTTGATACATTAGTAAATGATCTGAATTTGCCAGCAAAAAAACAACAACATGTATAAGTAAGAATATTTGTTATCATGTAGAATACTCTATGCAGAATTACTTAAGTAGACTTAGAAGAATATTATAGTTAATAGTGAGCTCCATAGTAAGTAGCTGATACACAAATGTGCAGTACCTTATGTTCAGAGACTGTTGCAGTGTGATGAGTCTGTGTTATAAAGTTTATTTAATTCAGATTAACTGTTTGTAGTTTCATTTTTTCTGTTCCTCTACTCTGGTTCACATGCACTATGAAAAGAAATTGTATTAGTTGTATTGAAGTATCTCTGATATTTGCTTATACATCTTAGAGTAAGGATATTATGTTAATGTTTAAATATTTACTCATTAAATGTAACATATTTTTACTATAGCTTAATTGAGTCAATTAAAAATTGAATGCATCATGTGTTAAATATGACAAAAATATTAGTAACCAAGTATGACTCGTGCACATGATTTGTACCACATCAGATTGTTAGCTTATTCCAACAGAATATTAACATGCATGTTGGTACACATTTTGAATGTTTTAAAGTGAATAAAATGGTGTAGCAGGAGTGATTATAGGGGGTAGAGGGGGTCACCATAAAATATTTGTTTCTAGTATTTTTCTTTGTCTTTCCATAATTTCAAATGTGATACACTGGCCTTATTTGAAACTATATTTTGACAATTATACCCAATATTTCCTCTAGATATTCCTATATTTTCCTGTGAATTTCCTATATTTACAAACTCCAATTCATATATTTCCTATATTCTTCATGGCACAAGTGGCTGGACGCACTGTGTTACTATAGGTGGTTTGAATAATAACTGACCAAGCTATGCTTTGAAAATAACTAGAGCCAGTGGCTGAAAATAATTGTACAGAGACTAAACTGTATAGAATAAAATAATTGTAGCAGTAATTTGTGGTTTACCAGTGTATTAACTACCCAGAACAGGGGAGAACGAAAGATCTGAATGTTAAGCTTGCAACATTTAGGAACAAATCACTTACCTGCATATAGTTTATTTTTACAGTTTATTTATTTATTTTTTATTCTTTTCATTCCTGAAAATGATTTTGTATTCAATTATATTTGCTTGAAAACTACAGTAATATTGTTCGCAACAAGATGTCCCGTAAGTTAGATTTAATGACCATAGTAAGTACCAACATATTATTCAATTTATTGAATTTATATTTTTTAAAGTTTATGGTATTCAAAAGCACAAATGAAAAAATGTGTTATTTATTGAAACCAAGCTATAAATTAATCTTGACCAAGTATGTTGTGAAAAAATTGCAAAACAATGCGTGACAAAAGTAACAGTGCTGCTAGCTTGAAAGGTGAGGTCATGAGTGGAAAGTGATGAGTTTTACAATTGGCAAAATAAAATATCAAAATGAATAAATGAATATCAAACAATTTAAGCTTACTGGATACATGAAATGTAACTTTCTGATCAATAATTTGAAAAAATTCTTAAATCAAGGGAAGTAATTTTATTTTGTTTTTTAAAACTATTTCACAACATTTTGGAAGTTTCACAATCTGAAGAGTTAT